TAAAAATCAGAAAAATAAATATGTTAATTAAGATTAAAAGAGGACAACGATGACCTATCCCAAATGCTAACTACTGTTAGACATGTATTTCTAAAATTTTACAATTTTTAAAAAAATGTCATCAAAGTACATGAAAAAACGGAAAAAATGAGTTTTTCGAATATTAAAAAGTTTGGCTTTATTTATTTATCTTCTTTCCATTTTTTCCTTTAATTTTCAACTTTTTTTTTAATTTTCTTTTTTACTACACATTACATGCAATACTAAGCATAGTATATGGATAGATATACATTAGGCATCATTTTTTACTATTAAAAGAAAAGATTTCAGTGCAGTAATTGTCCACAAGATAATATGAGTAATTTAGTATTCTTGTTATCGATGAATGAATAGATAATCATAATAACTTTCAAGATAGATAGTATTAACTATTTCGTAAGATTCGGTGGCAGTTTTAACTCTTCTTGTTTGAAGAACAACATTCATAACAGTGATAAGTTTATGAAAGATAAAAAATGCATATAATATAGTCATATTTAGGAAATAAAAAATTATTTCATTTTCACTATGACATATGCAAAAAGACAAAGATGAGGAGAGGAGAAGAATAAAAACATGATTTCGTTAAAATGAAATTCATCAAATAACCCAACAAATGACCCTTAATTTCTTTTTAGTAACTGAATAAACATATGAATTGAGAAGGATGAAAAGTTTGGATGAATAAATTCATCTGTAATAAAAAAAAATGGTTGTTTGGATTACTGATGCATGTATATGTTTTCTATTAGTTTGCTGAAAAAATTTACTGATAAGATAAATGATATCTTAAAATTATTGATATCCAAGTGGTGCAATAATACTATAAATCGTAAACTTTAAAAAAATGGAAAAAGAAAAAAAATTGGTACTAAATGAACGATTTAATGAAATTAGTAGAGAAAGAGATGGGAAAAGATATACAGTGTATAAATATTTTTAAAAAAAACGACGATTGTTATCTTATTGAGCATAACTGAGAGCTGATAATATTGAAATATATCATCAAATAAACAAAAACGATGAATGTTGTTAAGTGCTTGACCAGAGAAAAGGGACAATTTCTTTTACATACAATTTTCCATACTACTTGTGTTGTAAAAACAAAAAATCTTTACAAATTGTTTAAATTGTTGACTATGTGAGGACATGAAAGAATAATTCGGAAAAATTTCATTTGGTTCTGATTTTAAAGAAAAGAAAAACTTTTCTGACAAAATTTTGTAAATTTCGAGCATTATTCTTGCAAGTTATCTGTTAGATTTTTGCAAATTTTATGAGCAGTTCGTGCGAAATTGCCCAAAAATTTGCAAAACATTACTTACTGAGCTAACAAGAATATGAGCCAGAATAAAAAAGAACAGAAGTAATTCAGTTAGTAATTCAGTTCAGAATTTTTCAAATCAATTGTAAAATGAAATACAATTATATTATATTTCACGCAGCATCAAATATATATAACTAAATTAGTAATTCAAGTGAATTATTCTTTATCGAAAATTTTTCTGTATCAAAAAATGAGATTTTTTTTGTGAAGAAAAATAAAAATAATGTTGCAAATGATGCATTTTTTTTTAGCTATAAAAATAAAAAAAGAAAGCAGCCGAAACCCACTTGATAAACAATAATTATTAGCGTACTAAAATTGTTTCTTCATCAGAAGAATACGGTTGATAACATGCTTATTATGATCTTTTCATTGATCTTATACCATACTAAATATTCATCCGAATACATGAATTCAAAACTGACTTTATAATCATATAACGTGGTACTTATGTACATAATATACTTCGTGGACATATACTTCGTGGTATATATATATATATATATTGCTGGATAGGTACGCAGGACAGGCTTATGTCTCACTATCAACGACAATAACGCAAATAATTAATGCAGCGAGAATTGGGACATTATGATAATTTACTTTTAGATAATGATAAAGGAAATAGATATATGCTTATGTAATACATAGTAATAAAAGTGGAAAGCACAAATTATAGAAAGGAAAAAATTTAGAAACAGTGGCAGTTTTAACATTTTTTTAATTCAAAATTTTAACTCTGAAGTGTTCCGATTAAATTTTCAAAAAATCAGCAATAAAGAGAAGCAGTTGTTATAGAAATAAGTCATAAGTGTAGAATGGGAAAAAGGATACATTTGAATAAAATTCAATAACACGATAGCCTACAAAATTTATTCAAATTAAAAAATATGCTTCAAAAGTGGAAATAACTAATTTGAGATTACTTTATGGAAAGAAATACATCCATACAGCGAAAGAGGAAAAAGAAAGAAAGGTAATAGGGATAAGAAGGACAGTACTATGATAAATGGCCCAATTAAATCAACAAAAAAGAAGAAAAAAGCAGCCGATCCAGAGAACGTCAATTATTCTTATAAATAATAATTACTACTGTTATCAAAATAAGAAATATTTTCCATTGGTACTTTCGATATTTTTATTTTGAAGAAGCTTTGATGCTTCCAAGCTATTGTTTTACCTTATTATGCATATTACCGCGATCGTTCAATCGGTTTCCCCGGTTCAACATCCTGTATCATCAATTCAAAATTGACCATTCCCAGTTTTGACGTAATGTCAATTTCAACATTTTGCGCATAAGCTCGACATTCAACCAACACAACTTTATTACGTGGTAAATTGTCAAACTTTATCATTGCCTGAAAGAAAAAAATCCATTGTATTCTATTACATGTCCTTGATTTTCTTTCATGATATTCCGTTTTTTTTTTGTTTGATTTCGTTTTTCTTGTTGCTGTTAATTCGTACTTGAATCATTGTCATTGAAAAAAGAACATATTTTATTTTATTTTACTGATAATATTAATGGTCTCTCATTACATTTAATCGATTTCTTTATTGAACATAACAGTTTAAAAAAAAAAAAGAAATTTTTTTTCCTTCTTTTTATTTAAGAACATAAATCACAATTTGTTGTAATATATGAAAAAATCTAGCAAATACTTTTAATTATTATTTTTTTTATAAAAGAGTTGCAACAGCAAAAGAAAAAGCTTGCGAATTAATATTATTTTGTTATAGAAAAAACTACACTCAATACAATCACTTTTTTTGGAAATGATTGCAATGCTCATGTAATAATTAAAAACTGAAAAAAAAATTATGTGTATTCAAAAATTGTCTTTTCGCCTATCTCCTCTCTAATTCTTCATACAGTTCGCCTGCCTCTTTTAAAAAAAAGTCAAAGAAAAATCAACTCAAATTTGTAGTCAATTAAATTGATTCCAAGAAATCCATTCGAAGACTTTGTTAAATTGTGTTATCTGGACAGTTTATTAGATAGCAAATATCTGAGCAGTATATGGATGAATTGAAGATTTAGGATCAAAATTAAAAATTACTCCCTAATTCAAAAAAGCAATAAACTTACAAAAGGTTGCTGATAGTTAGGCATAACAGCATATGGATAATATTTACCATCAATACCCGCTTCCGGAATGTATGTCACATTTCCAAGATGTTCCTTATCGATGTCACTCTACAATCAAAATGTTATAACAAATTTTTGAAGAATTCAAAAAATAACTACATAATGGTTGTCATATTATCAGCTAAATTCCCAGGATTCTCTCTTAAAGAAAGCTCATGAGACCAATCATTTGTTTTGCTTAATTTACCAATATTGATCAAAAAGAGGAAGAAAATCGAAAAAGGAACCGTTCCGTCGCACTTCAATGTTACGAAATTTGGTTTGTATCGTGCTTTAATAATCTCAGGCACTGAATCGCGTGCGTAATCAATTGGCATCCAACCAATCAATCGATTCAATGTTAGAATTACGCAAGGTTTGCCTTCTGAGAAGCCATAATCAGTATTTTTGCCACAACCAGCTCCAGTAAATTTGCTCAATTCAAATCGGCACGACTGAAAGTATTTGAAATTAAATCGAAAATTTAAATATGCTATACTTGCTATACAAGAATCTAATATGACATCTCATAAAAGAACTTCAAACTAACATCAGTTTTAATAAAAATAAAGTTTCGACAAACTGTTAAACGTTCTGTATGCCCGGAAAGATAAGAAACCTCGACAATGTTATTTGTTGCTGAATTTTCAGATTTAGCACCTCCATCCATGAAAAGCTGTGCATTGCTTTGATTACCAACACATTCACGTGTCGCTGTTAAATTGCTATACTTCAAAAGATATTTGTCCAATGTATCGACATATTTCTGATAGGATGATTTATCTCGTATATTGAACCTAATTAGGGTTGAATCAGGATCATCCAAAAGCCAAGGCTGATAACCAACGCCTGAAACTTATATCAAATTTCCCTGTTAACATCGTTTATATATTATTCTTTCTTCGTGATAGGCTTCCCAGTAAATTATAGTAAAAAAATATTGTAAATCCAAAAAAAAAAACCTCAACTGAGAGAAAAAATACTAGGATCTAGGAAAATTCATATAAAAAATGACCTCTAATCATGTCCTTATTATCATTCAAAGTTGAATGTCGTATGTACTGCTAATACAGTTAATAATCTCCTCTTGAAGATATCAAAAAAAAAAAAAAGAAAACATACCAGGGTTCACACCGATAATCGTTCCTTTGCCATAATAACGAGGAACTTTGTCATCCAGTGTCGAAAGAAATATCGCTAAGCAACCAATCCAAAATGCTATGAGTAATGAATAAAAGACCAAATAAAATGCCAATATTTGAACTGAAAAGAAAACGACGTTAAATTTCATAGAATTAGTGAAATAAAAAAGACACTGAAATCTAATTTGTTCACTAAGATAAAATGAAAACTTTGATAATCACTTTTTTCGTTTTTTTTTTCCTCTCTGCAAAATTAACGCAATCGATAGCTAAACGAATGGAATTGATCAAAGAATAAAATTCTTTGGTGGAAGACACTGTGCCAATTATTCAAAACAAACACATAACAATGTGTTTAATATATAATTATTATATTTTTGACTGCATTAAATGATCAAAAAATACTATTAATTTTTTTGATTTTTGTAATATGGAAAAGATTTACAATTATAAATTATTACAATCGTCACAGTTTTCTCAGATATCAAGACTGTCATTTTCAAAGTTATTATAACATGGTTATTAGTCATACAAAAGGAAAGGAATAAACTTACAAATCTCGTCAACAATTTTGATTGCTTACATGAGATCGACGAGAAATGATTACTGATTAATACAATACTCAATGAATTGATAATATACAAAAATAAAATTTATAATTAAAAAAGAAAGAAAGAACAAACCCCATGATTTAGCCGTTCGTCCCAGACATGTGCCCTTATCTTTATTGAAAAGAAATTTTGAAAAAGTTTGATCGCCCACCGCTCCGTTTGCCTTACCACGACCATTCATCAACTGCAAAAAAAAGTACAATGGAGCAAATAAATGAATTACACAAAGTTGATATTACAAAGCAATCGAATTCTCTTCTCACATACATATTAGTCCGATCCTTCTATACATATATATGATCATATAAAATCAAATATGCATAACCTTTTTTGTTAATTATGTTCCTCAAAAAAAAAAAAAAAAAATGATATGATGGTAGAAAGCTATGAAACGGAATAAAAATAGCTTGGAATTTTAAAATTTGAAAATTTTCTTGTCACAGAAAGTAACAAAAAAGAAAAAAAAGAAGGTGTTATTTCTATATTGTTTAACAAACATAATAATATGTGACGTTCAAAAATTACGTCTGCACAATCTGTCAAGGTACTTCCCTTTTTTCTTGTTTATTCTTTTCCATTCCTTCTCTCTCTTACTGCCTCCCTCTATCTCTCTCTCTTACTCTCTCTCCCTTTTCCAAAAAAAAGAAAGAAAGGAAAAAGAAAGAAGAAAAAAAAATAAAATGAAAGAAAAACAACTGAAGTTTAAAAGTGAAAAATTCTCTGTAACAGCTATGTAACCGATTGCTTTCAACTACCACTCAAAAAAAAAAATGTTCCCCTTTTTTTTTGAAATATTAACTTTCCACAGACTGCGAACGAATGAACGAATTCTAAAAACTAAACTATACTGTATGCTAACAATTATCAGGAAAAAAAAAGAAATCTATTTAAAAAGATGAAAATAAAATTAAGCAAACAAATGAAAGGGAATATTATTTGCTCAGGTCAAACATTTCAATCTTCTAATTTGATTCATCTTTGGTAATGAAGCATAAAATAATTAATTAATGATAATTAAATTTCAATATTTCCCTTCTACAACTAATTTCTTCACTCTTATTTCTCATTCTCATTTTTTCTTCAACTTTCTCCATTTTTTTTTTGTCATTTCTTTTAATAATATTCAAAAGGCCTCATTAAAGATAAGTAAAATTACCTGTATGTCAATGCATTTGGAAGTGTTTGGGATAGTGTTGGAGAAAGTTTTCTTTATCCTCAAGGAAATATGCCTCAAGCCTTAAAAGGATGACTAAGTTATTTCTTTAACTAAACCTTTATCGACTTAAAAATTAATGTTCCTAACATACGCACGTATACACACGCACACACTCATACATATGTATAAATATATATATAAAGGGTTCTAAATTGGTCCAGTAATGATGAGGCCCGATAGTTGGGACAATTCCATGTGTGCAGGGGGAAGGAGGGAGAGAAGAGATGCGTGGAATATGGAGTGGAATAGGAGAAGTTCACACGGTCTGAAGAGTAAATCGATAGCCTGAGAAAAGAAAAGAAAAAATAAGGATGTAAGAGAAGATAGTGAAGACGAGGATCGAGTAGTGGGCCAAGCCAAGAGGGAATATGAGGATAGCATTAGGCCCAGTTGTTGGAGATGTAAAGTTATGATATGAAAAGGCTTAACAGTGCAATGTCATTTCCTTAACCAATATAGCACCAATCATAGGTCACTATTAATTTATAACGATGACATCATTCCTTCTTCATTTTAAACAAATTTAATAAATGTGCGAGAAATTTTTTTATATCATTTAAAACAAATGGATTCACAGTGCATTTATATGTCAGAATGAAATGGAAATTTCTCTAACAATTCCACTCCTTCTTTTCATACACATACGCACACGCATGCACACGTACACGCACACGCACACAAAACAGAAAAAATTCAAAGATCACTCAATTCACTTATTTTAATATATAATTAATGTATAATTAACCGTACAATTTAACGCATAATTAACCGTACAATCAAATATGGGTATATAAGTACAAATGATGAATACGAGTGTATGGGTTTTAAATTGAGTAGAAGTATGAATATACAAAAATTTTTAAATAAATCAGTGAAATTTTCAAGTACGATTGGTTAAAGATTGAAGGAATGAAAAATGATGACATTACTGGAGATTGATATACGTGAGGTGAGATGTTGAAATGTTAACCATTAAGATGTCAACACATATTTTTCAAAACCGCGAAAGGAAATGAAATAATGAACAAATTTTGGAGAAGTTCAGTAAATAAACATAATATAAAATTTAATATTTTCTACAGCGCAACGTTTAAATTAAAAATCATTTAAATGAAGTTAAAGCCAAAGAAAATACTATATTTTTTTGTGTGTGCATTTATATGAAAAGGTTTGACTTATTCATTGTTAAATAGGAAAAAAAATTGAGAAAGATATAATAAAGTATATGAGCCAAGCAAATATTCTTAATCCAACCAAAATATAGACAAAGAGGAGGATGAGAATAAGAAACTTTTCTTTTCTCATGGGTTTTCTTCATCAACAATTGCTGTTAAATTTGTCCCTCAAGCGAAGAGAAATAAGGGATTGACGAGGAATATGTGAAAATATGATAAAAGAAAAGATATGACGAATGCTTAATATTTTTTACATTTTTCCTCATTCCATCACCATCCTCCAATGTTAGTGGAAAACAGACCGGAAATAGCGACGTCTTCTGTCGTTAAAAATTTTGGCTGTCTGCATATCCGAAAATGTCACTTTAGAAAAGTTATACGAAATGAAAGAACAAACGGATCCCGACAATGTCAACTTAACAATAA